AAAAAAAAAATCGAATCATATCTTCTTGTCTCCAAGAATGCTGCTCAGCCATAAAGTTAATTTTCCTCAGTGGCCACTTGCAGTATTGCAGCGAAAAAATCTCCTGCAACCTATTGCCAAAAAGCATTTTCCCCATAGACCACCATTATGAAAGAGATGTCTGTAAAACTGTTGACAGGACGCCTCGGACTGCAAACAAGGTCAGTTATGACTCTTTCTATTATAAATTTTTCATTGATGTTGGTTTTATATCGGCAAAACTTTCCTAAAGCCGAGAAAAGCATTTTTAAACTCTGTGATGTCACCACAATGTCAAGCTTATAAGCTGAGCAGGAACTCGCAGGTGGGGCTAGCAGGAAAAACACCAAACTTGAACGTATTCAGTGAGCCGCATACCACAGAAGTAAACCTGAGAAGTAGAAACTTTGTATGCACCGGGCAAGCAACTACACTGAAATGAATCTGCGCCATCTTGGCATCTGGTATGTGGGTATTATCATAAATCTATGGATGCACTCCAAATTGCACAATTTTCACTCTTCTTACTTTTAGTATGTACAGCAACTACCACAAAAAAGTATGCACTTTTGCATGGAGTATGCACACAATTAGGATGTACTACTGTCTCATAACAATGCGCCCTGAACTTGGACCCTCTTGCACATATATTTGTTACTTTGGGGATGAAACAAAACACAGTTCAAAGAGCTTACCAGAGACACAGGTCAACCTGGAGAGATCTGCTGTTGTTTGCAATGTATGTAGTTTTACCTTTTATGGTATAACTGCCCACAAGGTAGATTATAACATATTATATTCACCACAGTAAAATTACATTTCTCAGTCACTGTTATTTTGATACTTATACTCTTTTGTTGTTTGTAATCTTTATGATTACTTTGATCATCTAAACAATTAATATTCCTATTATTACCATTTGACTGGTCATCACTTTTGCTGTCAGTCGTCATTGCAGCTTCTGAGAGCTGTCAGTCAGCTGTCAACAAGCTGTCATCTGTTTGCAGCACAGTTGATGTGAGGAATCTTCTGTTGTGCAGAGGACTGTGGGTAAGAATAGCCAAAAAAGCATGCTGGCTTGCAATTCTGTAAAATCGCACCGGATGTAGTGGAACATCCTGGTATTTTTGGCATACTGCTTTTGAGTCAACACTTGACTCTGTAGCTCCTCTTAAAAAGAAGTTAAAAAAGCAAAGAAAGTTCTCTCCTTGGTATAACTCTCAAACCCGTAAGTTAAAACAAATATTGCGAAAATTTGAAAGGAATTGGCGATTGAATCTCGTTTAATCTGGACAGACAGTCTCAAAACTTATAAGAGGGGCCTCCGCAATGCCAGAGCAAACTAGCCCCAAACAACTCAGAGACTCTTTATCTGATGACATAGTTTCTCCAGATGGCATTGCTCTGGCCTCTAGCACTACCGTAAGAAACCTCGGAGTAATATTTGATCAAGATTTGTCTTTTAATTCTCATTTAAAACAAACCTCACGGACTGCATTTTTTCATCTGCGTAATATTGCGAAAATTAGGCCTATCCTGACCCGAAAAGATGCAGAAAAATTGGTCCACGCTTTTGTTACCTCAAGGCTGGATTACTGTAACTCTCTATTATCAGGTAGCTCTAGTAAGTCCTTAAAAACTCTCCAGCTAATTCAGAATGCAGCAGCACGTGTACTAACAGGAACTAAGAAACGAGATCATATTTCTCCTGTTTTAGCTTCTCTGCACTGGCTCCCTGTAAAATCCAGAATTGAATTTAAAATCCTACTGTTAACTTATAAAGCTCTAAATGGTCAAGCTCCGTCATATCTTAGAGAGCTCATAGTGCCATATTATCCCACCAGAACACTGCGCTCTGAGAACGCAGGGTTACTCGTGGTCCCTAAAGTCTCCAAAAGTAGATCAGGAGCCAGAGCCTTCAGCTATCAGGCTCCTCTCCTGTGGAATCATCTTCCTGTTACGGTCCGGGAGGCAGACACCGTCTCCACATTTAAGACTAGACTTAAGACTTTCCTCTTTGATAAAGCTTATAGTTAGGGCTGGCTCAGGCTTGCCCTGTACCAGCCCCTAGTTAGGCTGACTTAGGCCTAGTCTGCCGGAGGACCCCCTATAATACACCGGGCTCCCTCTCTCTCCCTCTCTCTCTCTCTCTCTCTCTCTCTCTCTCTCTCTCTCACTCTCATCCTATTACTGCATCTTGCTAACTCGGCCATTCTGGATGTCACTAACTCGGCTTCTTCTCCGGAGCCTTTGTGCTCCACTGTCTCTCAGATTAACTCATATCGCAGCGGTGCCTGGACAGCGTGACGTGTGTGGTTGTGCTGCTGCCGTGGTCCTGCCAGATGCCTCCTGCTGCTGCTGCCATCATTAGTCATTAGTCATACTTCTACTGTTATTATACACATATGACTATTGTCACACATGTATACTGCCAGATATTAATACATACTTTCAACATATTGTACCACAGTAGCCAGAACTATAACTATAATATTATTACTTTCAATAATGTTGTTGTAAGCTACTGTCATTACCTGCATCTCTCTCTCTGTCTCTCTTTCTGTCTCATTGTGTCATGCGGATTACTGTTAATTTATTATGCTGATCTGTTGTGTACGACATCTATTGCACATCTGTCCGTCCTGGAAGAGGGATCCCTCCTCAGTTGCTCTTCCTGAGGTTTCTACCGTTTTTTTCCCCGTTAAAGGGGTTTTTTTGGGGAGTTTTTCCTTATCCGCTGCGAGGGTCATAAGGACAGAGGGATGTCGTATGCTGTAAAGCCCTGTGAGGCAAATTGTGATTTGTGATTTTGGGCTTTATAAATAAAATTGATTGATTGATTGATTGACATATTATGTATTGGGACACACAATCTTTTTCTGGCATATTAAATAGTATGACCATATGGGTACTGGAACTCACAATGTGAGTTTGGCATTTCAAGGTCACCATCTTGGTTTTTTGTGAAACCAGAAATGGCCATATTTCAGCGAGAGGATAGTGCTCTGGAGGAGCGAGGGGTGGATGTCACTGAAAAGTTGTGAACACTGTCAGCTTGTCACTCAAATTGGCCCGCCCTTACATATGCAAAACTTAAGCCTTAATAAAAAGTAAACAGGAGAGTTCTATAAAAATTAACCCTCCATACAGTTTTCATGAAGAGGGAAATTAGCTAGGGAGACAAAAACCGCCTGACCTAGCTACAGTTCAACATTTTGCAAGAGAGAGGCTGCTATAATGTTAGCTATGTTACACAATGATTAATGTACGTTACCTGTTTTATAGGTTATATATAACGTGGTGCAAGGATGAGTCTCATAACCCGGAAATGAGTTAACATTTTTACACTCCTGTTTCCCTTGTCTCAAAGTCAATGGGTTTTTTGGAATGAGTTTTAGGTTAGATGAAGTCATGTGACCGTGATGTTTATAGCCTAATGTTAGCCTCTTACTTCTGGTGATTGCATTTACAGTTAAAAAATCATTAAAGTATCTCCCTAAGGTACAGTCAAATTGTATTGCTTATGTCACCCTTTTAGCCAGAGGACTTACATTACTCAATATGAGGCAGGTGACCCAGCTTTAAACACTGGGTCAGAGATGCATTACAATTTTTGAAGTTAGAAAAGCTAGGCTTTCCTTTACGAGGACCTAGGGACAGTTTTAGCAATGTATGGCAACCTTTTATTACAAATCTGCTTGAACAGCTGTGAGGTTGTAGTACTGTTGGGTCTCAACATCTGCTGCAGAATTTTTACACACTCTTTGTCACTCTCTTTGTTCTTTTTTTTAATGGATTAATGGCACATTATTGTTTCATGATGGATTCGATCTGACTGTTTGCTTCCAGGGGGTGAAAGAAAGGAAAGTTTTTTTCTGTATTTTTGTATACATGTTTTCTTAAAAGTGAAAACTGATAAATAAAGTGTGTGTGTGTGTGTGTGTGTGGAGGGGGGGGGGGGTCGTCAATAAGGTGGGTCGCCCGGTGGCTTAGTGGGTAGAGCAGGCATCCCATATATGATTCCAGCCCACAGCCACTTGCTGAAATTCATCCCCTCTCTCTCCCCCTTTCCCACTAATCTAAGTACACGTCACAGCGACGCAGACCTCCCTCAGTGGAAACAAAGCTTTTATTTATTCTAATTTCACAGATGATGAACAATAAATTGTGAAGACAGTAAAGCCTCAACAAAAATAGCATTTTAAGTCTTGTGTATAATTTATCCTTCAGGGATTTATCCTGGCTTCATATGAGCAGAGGAAATCTCCACTATGCGCTAGGCTAATTTATACAATGTAAAATGTCAGGCTTGTGCTAATAACATTACCATGTTGTATTTGTTTGGAAAACATGTTTAGTATAAGACAGTTATTTTGTCAGTGAACCTTGTGAGCTGTAATGGAGCTGAATTTTGTAACGTTACCTTTGTTAAATGTTGCTGTTGTCCCTGGTTTCATATGAGCAGAGGGAAGTCTGCTAGCTGCTAGGCTGATTTATACAATGTAAAATGCCATAGGCTTGTGCTAATAACGTTAGCATGTTGTATTTGTGGGGAAAATGTGTCCAGATAAAGACAAGTGTTTGTCTGTGAATGCTGCGAGTTAAAGTGAAGCTGGTATATGAACTGATATGAATTTTTGTTCATATCGCCCAGCCCTACTCTTTATCGAAATATTAATGTTATATTTTTTACCTTGGTGTTATTGGTGGAGGTCGTGTAGCTTATCCAAACTGATGAACTACCAGGCATGCTATCGTATCCTGATCCTGACAATTTCAGATGTTACTGGCTGCCATCTTTGCCATCATCAAACTGGGGACTGGAGTGTCCAACAGAGGAGGTGGGCCCGAGCAGTTCTGCAGCTACACCCTTCTTAGAAAAGATGGGACAGAGATTCAGTTACAGTTGACAAAATTTAATTCAAATAAGTTAACATAACTCACATTAAACAAAAAAATCAGAATATAGTGTTTATGTTAGAATAACTCAAAAACATTTGGTCAAACTCTCACATGATATGAATTAAATACAAAACCAAAGATAACGTAAGCATTCTCCTTAACAATGTAAAATAAAAAAAGTGAATATTGAGTTAAAACAAGTGCAAATGACTCACAGTGTCTCTGACGGTAAGAAAGATAGATTACATCTTTCACATAAGATAGTGCAGAAGTGCAGCTCTTACAAATAGTACTCTTTATATACACAACTAGAGCAGAGGATCGTTTAGAGTAAATAAGTTATCCTTCTTTTCTGAGCACTTGAGGGTTTTATATTGGATTGTACAGGAATGCAACTTCAAGTTAGCAGCCCAATTAATATTCTGAACTCACATAAAAACCATGATTTCAAGCCTGAGCTTTCCCTCTCATATACACATATGACACTTTTTTCATACAGGAAAGCTAATGTCAAAATCATGTATGACGTCGAAGACTGAATTTTTAACCATTAAATGGCAAGGGAATAATACACATTCATATAAATAAATTAGCTTGAAAAACATTGAAATAAATATTGCAAGCGCTCCCTTTTTTGAATGTTAATTAATAAGGAAAGTTTAGCGTCTATCCAGAGTTATGTACGATCACCCTGCCCTCCTCCCCTCCACTTTGGAGTCTGTCTGCAGGAACTCTTTTAAGTTTCCATCTCAGACTCTGAGTTATCCAAATTAGACACAGTGGAGCTGTACCATTCAGCACTCTCCTCTTCCTCCTGCACTCCGGATCTGCCGCCTCCTCCTCCTCCTCCTCCTCCTCCGCCTCCTCCGCCTCCGCCTCCTCTGTCTCTTCTCTCGTTCAGCATTTCCATGGCTACTTGGTGGTAAGGGTGTTTGCGTTTGGTGTGTCGGCGTAGCGTGTTGCGCTCGGCGAAGCGCGTGTGGCAGAGTTGGCACTGGTAGGGCTTCTCTCCAGTGTGGACCCTTTGGTGGCGCTGCAGCTCACCGGCCTCCCTGAAGCGTTTGGCGCAGATGGGGCACACAAAGTTCCTCTGGCCTGTGTGGATGTGCTTGTGTCTCTGGTCAAGAAAATAGTAAATATTTGATCAATAATTAGTGAAGATATCACTCAACACTTTAATTAATGCAGCTGTCATCTATATTTTTACATGAGCAATGCTGCCCTACAAAGGCTAACTGCAGTTAACTGCAATTTTTCAAAATGGATTTTTGACTGAAATTTTGGATGTCTGTCCTATCTTGTGACAAAAGTTCCTAGTTCAATCTCATTATGCTCTAGAGCAGTGGTTCCCAACTGGTGGGTCGTGGGTCCGTTCTGAGTGGACCACAAGTGACTTGCTAACGTGTTAAGTTTGTAAAAAACAATATTTATTTTGAAGTGAATTTACGGCACAAGCTTTTATTTTGAAGCTACATTTCCTGTTGTAGAGTGATTGAATTACTGACAGCTACTCAACAGAGACAGCTGCACCAGTTGGGAACCACTGGGCTAGAGAAAGTAGAAAACCAACTAAAACCCAAGGCAAACTGCAGTAAATGTAGTTACTGTGCTCTGCCTTGGGTTCCTGGAGATTTGGGATGCTACTGGGCCAAGGAAAATCACAGTAAGGAAATGGTGAAGGTGAGAATGAGGAAGATGCAAATGACAAATTAAATGATAACGTGACAATGACCACAGCAAGAGCAGTGGTAAAGTTGATGATAATATCAAGAAATCTTGTGTTAGGTCAAACCTGATGACATCAATATTACAACAAAATAATACTTGATGGTTGCTTAAATTTTTTTCTTACAACTTTTAAATCAGAAATCTATAAATGAAACACATAAAGAAAAAGACACTAAAATTGTAGTTACTACACTTTGCCCTGTGAATTACCTTGGTCAAATAATGGATCATAGTTTTTAGGCATAAAAATGACTTAATGAATACCTATTTAATGTGTGCATTATCTTTTTTTAACCTATAACACATTTGACTGGACAGTCAAAACACTTTAAAGTAATTTTTCTCAGTTCAGTCTGGACCACTTTAGTCAAAGACAAAACCTAATTTTTATTTGTAATTTGATATTTGTCATTATGGCTCTGTTCTGGGACCTCCCTGCCCGCACCTGCATGGAAAGCTTAAGGTGGAGAGAGCAAACCTTTCTGCCCTTCCACGTGTCTACATGGATAGCCGAAGGCAGAGAGCACACCTTTCTGCCCTTTCACGTGCCTACACGGATAGCCGAAGGCAGAGAGCACACCTTTCTGCCCTTTCACGTGCCTACACGGATAGCCGAAGGCAGAGAGCACACCTTTCTGCCCTCCACGCACAAGCGAGGAAAGCCTGAGGCAGAGAGAGCAAACTTTCCCACCCTTCCATCAAACAATGATGTCAAACTCATGAGTCTACACTGCTGGAAACCTTCAACAAGGAGTCAAAAAAACAGTCCAAAATGTGGCTTCATTTTACAAAGACAGATGACAAGAGTGTTGTTGTAATGTCTGTTAAGTGATCATTTCAAGTCAGGATGAAAACATCAGCACATGCTAAAAGATGTTTCTGTGCTACATGGGTTTAAATTTCAGGAATTTCATGTATTTGACACTCGATGCACAAGTGATCTTCCTAACCGAGCAGTTACCAAGCGTAAATATCCTGTTATAATCACGTAGGCAGACTGAGAAGATTTTTGTAAAATGTAAATGAAAATGGCTGCTGTACAAATACGTCCTAATTTCACTGACACTGTGTTCAAACTCAGAGATAATAAAGCACGTGTGTTGATGCTTAAACCTGTGTAGGTCAACTTTTTTTCCCCAAACAGAAAATTGTACAGTAAGAAGAATCCATTAAGAATCGGACCGATAAGCAGAATCGATAATGGCATTCGCATTTATAAAATCTTATCTAATCCCTGGTGAAGGTAAAGAAACAAAAAGATTCAACATATCTATCTACTTATAAAATGTACAAATCTAACATACTGTCAACATGGCGGTTGGTAAAAAAAAATCACACTCAGACCTCTTTAAAATGGCACACTTATAGTCCCGTATTCAATCATTTCAATCTTATTACAGGAGGTGCCCCTTTTCAGCTCTCACAATGGTCTACACGAGGTATTGAGACCCTGTCAGATGTATGTTATGACAAAGGAATAAGATCTTTTAATGATTTGTGTACCGTGTACAATGTCCCTAGAAGTTTGTTTTTCTTCTACCTTCGGCTCAGATTAGCAATGCGAAGCTATGGGGTCCCGTGGGGTGTAGCTTTAACAACTCATCCACTCCATTCTCTGCTAGATGTGAGAGGCCGAACTAAAGGTTTAGTATCTACGATTTATTCACTCTTAAACTCCTTGTGCAAACCTCTGACAATCCATCAAATCTGGAGTAGGGCTCTAAGCTGTTTGGTGGATGACATTTGCTGGTTAACAGTTTGGAACAATTCAGATGGTACTTCCAAAAATCCTAATCACAAGCTTATACACTTTTAATTTCTACACACGGTGTATCTTACGCCCAGGAATCTTCATCTTATGAGCCTTATACCCTCTCCTGTCTACGAGTTCTGCCCTTATAGTGACACAGGGTCTTTTATTCACATGTATGGGAACTGCTCAGGGGTAGTATGTTTTTGGAAAATGGTATCTGTAACTTTATCTGATCTTCTTAATGTTCAAGTGTCATGTTGTCCAAAGCTGCTCCTGTTGAATGATACCTCCTCTTTAGATCTGTTGTCTCATCAGAGGCTCGCACATAGTCATAGTCCACATACGCTATTTACTGCTATCTTTATCTTTCATCAAATATATAGCTATATTCCTTTCTTCTTTTTCTTTTCATTTTAATGTCAATTATGTATTATTATCATTATTTCATTGTTATTTTCCTCTTATTAATTTACTTTTCTTTCTCACTTAAAATACTGAAGCCAATTCATGTGAACCAGTTGCCGAGATGGGGGAAATTGTTGTGTATAATTGTGATTGTTGTTTGTAATATAAAACAACACTGAAAAGCTGATAACAAAAAAAATGTACAAATACATATCCGTGGTTTGCAGGAATGAACAATGCCCAGATTAATTCAGGTGATGGGGTCGGGGCCTGAAACAGCAGGCAGCTCTGTACTCTACCTGCTCAGCACCAAACAACAGCCTGACAAAGTTAACGACTAGCTGGTGAACGCAGTGGATCATTTAGCAGCTAAAGAGCCAGATACTTCCCTCGGGAGTTTATGAAAACCAACTGAATATTGAACTTATCCATCAGGTGGCCACAAACATGACTCCAAATCAATGTTTCTCCATGTGTGCTGAATGTGTAAATAAGCAACTGTGCTGACATATCAACTTAACAGGTGATTAAATGTCGGAGTTGTGCTCTTGGCATGTACCCACTGCTCTCAAGTGGCCGAAAAGTTAGTTATTACAGGTTAAACAGTCACTGTCGAGCTTGTCACTGACCTGCAGATGGCTGGAGCGTTTGAAGGCTTTGCCGCACTGCTGGCAAACGTGAGGCTTCTTCTGCGAGTGCGTGATGGCGTGTCGCTCAAGGTCGGAGAGGTAAAAGAAGACCCGTGGGCACAGCTGGCAGTACAGCACCCTGCGGGAGGCCAAGGTGTTGGGTGACCCCTCTGGTGAGAGGGAATCCAGCGGGTCAAGGGGGTCGAGCTTATCAGAGGGGAGGACGGGTCCAACAGGAGGGGAGGGGGGAGCAGCAGCGTTGGAGAAGTAAAGATGGTCGTCCAGAGGTAAATGTTCTGAGTGCAGGTCGGTTGGGTCAAAACGGGACTCTGAGGCTGGTGACTGGGCCTCCGAGTTGGGCTGAGCTGAAGGGTCGTAGGTCAAGCTAGCAGACTGCGGGTGCGGAGAGGAGGCTGTAAAAGTTGATGGCTTGTTGTTTTCACTTGAGACTTCTTCAGCAGATATGGCTTCGCTTCCAGGGTTTGAATCGGAAGAGCTGATTTGAGGATGAAGGGTGGCGCTGTGGTGGTCGTTTTGACTAGCGGGAGAGGACGGGCGCACCGTCAGAGAGGTGAGAACAGAGTCAGAGTTTATGGTGTTCACTCCTGACAGGATGACGGGAGGGTTGTTGGGGCTCAGTCTGATGACGGGGTGGGACAGCGCGGGCAGAGGTGATGCCAGAGTGCCGACCTGACTGGACGGCAAAGGGAGGGAGACGGGGGCTGCTGTGAACTGACCGGTGGAGGGGTCGAGGACAGCGATAGGGGTGGAGGTAGAGGTGGAGTCACCAGAGGAGGAGGGCACAGAGGACAGGAGGAGGAACATGGGGGTGGAAGCACCAGGGGTGGTCTGAGCGACTGAGAGGGGAAGCGAGAGACCCACCTGAGCTGAGGAGAGCTGAGGAGAGGAAGAGGAGGAGGACAGGAGGAGGATAGGAGTGTTAGCAGAAGGGTTGGAGAGGACCTGAATGGGCTGGGTGGGCACTGATCTAACAGCATCAGCCTCCTGAACAGATTTAACGCTCGGCTCTGCGGCCTTCGATGGATCTGAGCTTGTGATCAAACTCGTGAAGACTTCCGGAGTCTTCGTCTGATCAACACTTTGTGATGGAGACTCAGTAGGAGGTGCTGGTGCGGGGTACGGATGATCAGAAGGTGCTTTTAGTGCATTATCTAAACTTTGGCTGAGGCTAGGCTCTGCTGAGGTGGACCCCTTCCCTTCTGCCTGATCCTCTGACGTAGAAGCATCGACTTGCGGCACTTTGAGTCCGTCGGGACTGAGAGTATACGGGATTCCCTGGTCGTCTATGAGAAGAAGGTTTTCAGTGTCACAGTCTAACGAGGACAGGGAGGTGAAGACAGAGGTAGAGAAGAAAGAGGGAGACAGGAGAGAGTCTTCAAGCGTGTCTGTGCCGTCCAAACGCAGTACAGAGCCCTGTCCGTTGCCATCGTCGTCCTCCTCTACTATATCTCTGTCTCCTTCTCCCTCGTACTCATCTACCTCCATAATCAGAGAGCTCTCGCAGCCAGAGTCATCCAGGAAGCGCTCACACCTCCTCTCTCGATTCTCTTTTTTCTTGGGCAAACTCAGGTCCAACGGTTCGGTCTGTTCCTCCATTCCCGCCTCATCAAACGTCTTACAAGACTTCAAGTCCACTTCTTTTAAAATCAGAGGGACATTTTCCTCAACTTCTCTCTCTGTGGTTTCCTCTTTAATCCCTTTCAGTCTCAACATTTTAACTGTATTAGTGCTCGAGATTAAAGGAGTTTCTGACCCATCTGTGGGAATAATTTTAGCACCCGAAACATGTTTCCCTTTGCACATTTCCTCCCCTCTCTCTGCTTGTGTCTCCTGGAATGATTCTGGCTTAGCTTCCTCAGTCTTATGATAAGTATCCTCCTTGGTCTCTCCTTCACTCTTAACAGCAGATATGAGGATTTTGTTTTTTTCTGCTCCAGCTGAAACAGGTCTTCTGAAATGTGAGCGATCAAAGTCTTTGGTCAGGCTGATGGCAGAGTTTGTGATTGGCCTCTTGCACCGTGGGGGAACAACAATTTTGAGTCTGATTGGTTGGCTGCGCAACACAGGCACTCCAGTCTTGACTGTGATTGGCTGTCTGAACCCACCGACCTTACTCGTTTCCTGAGAGGCTGGCTTACAAGTCCCGCCCACCTCTGGCTTATTCCCATTGATTGATGGAGCAGGCTGCCTGGTGGTCACTGCTGCTCTGACAGGGCACGGCTGGAGGTTACCTGGTGGTACAGTACTGGGTGAGGCTTTTTCCTTTTGGTCCAAAAAATCCTCTGTCACTGGCCCTGATCCCTCTGCACACTGGCTGCCATTTTGGACATCCAGGCTGCCACTGGTCAGGACTGAAGCCAACTGAGAATCCATTTTGGGGCATACCCATTTATATTTCTATTAAAGAAAGGAACAGAGTCATAAATTAGAAACTCACTCAACAAATCTAAAATGACAATAAGCACATTTAATGTTAGTGATGGAAGTTAACTCATTGATACCCAGGGGTGGCTGGAGCAACTCTCAGTCTCTCAGTGGTGATTATTGGGGTCAAGTTTAGTGCACAAGCCAATAATAGTTAATGTAATCAATGGTTTGCGATATTGATAACAGGCTGTAAATAAGACAGAGCCTCCATGAGATGCTGAGCAGCTCCTCTGACCTCCTCCTCCTCCTCCTCTTCCTCCTCAACATCACCCCGTCCTGTTAATTGTGCTGGTTACCTCGCATGATCCAAAATTATAGCTCAGCGAATTTCTTACCGGAGCCGCCGATCATTCAGGGAAACGCTGCGGGTCCTGATGTGAGCGATCACACACACACACCGCACACACACACTTCTATCATCCACATGCAACATAAATAATAAAACGTCTCATTTCGCTTTGGATTAACACTCATATTCCGTTTGGTTTCCAGATACAAGCCTGCTGTGAGATGTATCTGGGGGTGAGCCGAGGAGCAGTGTCCGCGGAGGACGCCATTACGCACAGTCCTAGGTCCGAAATATTATTGTGGTGCGTGTGCGCCCTGACAGCTCTCGGACCTGGGACGTCGCTAACGCGTCGCTCGGAGCGGATAATATAATATATATTTACAGTCAGTCGCGGTGTGGAGCGGATCCGTGTCTTCGCACCGGAGCCTCCTCGGACCTACAGCCAGCCATTTTAGAGCCGAGGGTCCGAGGCAGCGAGAGCGCAACCCCGGCAGCTTTCAGGACAAACTTTCCCTGCGCGCTGTCATTTCTATCGCAGCCGTGCTGTCAGAGCCGGCGGAGGACGCGCCGGACGCCCTGTCGATACATTTAAAACTGTATTTTAAACTATACTCCACCCATACACTCGCTGCATAGGGACTGGCTTACCCGTGCTGTGGATATTTCCGGAGGACCAAATATGACTGTGCAGTGTAAAGGGTGATGCTGCGAATGCCGAGGGAGGGAGGGGTCAAGGGGAGTTGCTATGGTGTCGCAGCCTACCGGGTCCGACCAGTAGCCATGTTCAGCCTATGAGTACGGTTGAACCTGCAGCCTGCACAGAAAGGCTCACTGTGGCGCCTGAGAGTCACAGAGACGGGAGGCAGAGCACAGGAGCCAGCAGGAGGATGGGGATTGAGCAATATGGACTCGAACTCACACACTTTAGGCTGGTTTCACTAACAGGGTTTAGATCAGGGGTGGCAAACGTACGGCCCGTGGACCAGAACCGGCCGCCAAAGGCTCCAATCCGGCCCACCACATGACTAGAGTAAGAGGTGGCAGGTTTCAGGAGCAAGTTTAACAATGCCAACTTCAAATAAAACTCTGCTTCAGAGGCTTTTCCACCCTGAGCAGGATACAGCTCTCTGATACAACAATGCATACTTGAAAAAATATAATAAAAAAAAAACAAAGAAGACAAAGATAACAATGTCAGAAAAGACGTATGTAGAAGTAAAACTTGTGTGTCCCTAACCCCTTTCTTGCATTTCTTCTTGTAACTAATATTATTTCAACAAATCCCCAAATTTATTTACAACTAATATACAACTATCACCAGTCTGTTTACCACCCACTTATATAAATAAGTAATAATCGCAGTTTATTTACAGTCCAAAAAATACAAAATAAATATGCACTCCCTTAACACAACCTTTCCTCATCTATATAGCTGCCTAAAATATATTTTTTTGTATAGTTTTTAAAACTGATTTATATTTGTCTCTTACTGTGACCATGTTTAAAGATATTCAACATTGTGCAGAATAATGTCAATCAGCAGCTTCAGATCAAAAGAATCTGTATCAGGAGATATGTGGATGAATGCACATGTAGTAACAGTGAGGAGTAGACTGACTGAATGTGGGAGAACTGAGACATGTTGAATTTATTTATTTATTTATTTACTTATTTTTCAGGTGGTTCTTCTGTTTGGTAAAAGGATGAACGTCGACACAATGTACTTGTAACACACAAAAAGGTTAAAATATTGGAGCTGATGTTACTTAAAGGTTATTGTGCGATGGTTTTATTGGTCCGCCCATGAACTAAAATGAGTTTGACGCCCCTGGTTTAGACTGAGCCAGGACTAGGCCTTAATGTGGACAAGTTACGTGAGAACATTTAAATGGCTTTCATGAACGTGGCTTAGTTAGCATGTGAAGTAAGACTTAATGAGAACACCTGGGTTGAACTGGAGCAGGAACAGATGCATTTGAATTAAGTTAAAAAGCCTTTATTTCAAAACATGGCTGCTTATGTTAAAACACAGACCGGTTTCGACCCTAAGGTCTTCATCAGGGTGCAGAAAGGCCTGGTGCCAGACTAAAATGCTCATTTAAGCTCTCTTAACTTAAAGAAACTTGCACAGACATATCTTAAGATAGTCGTAGATTTAGCCTGTTCTGGATTTAACTAAACCAGCTGTGAGAGGGAGCATCAGAGCTACACTAGGACTGAACTGAAGCTTAAATTAAACCTACAAGCAGGCAGGTTTAACTTCTGCTTAATAATGTTGATTTGATTTGATTTATTTCAACATTTCAAAAAAACTAAAATAGAATATATTGTAGGAAAAAAATCCCTACAAAACAGAGATAAAAAAGAAATCATTAGCAGTCTTACAATGAGAAATATAAATTAACTTTTCATGTCCAAAAAGGAGTAGGAAGAAGTAACAAGCTTGTCTAGTCTTGCCCTCATCATTAAGCAGGCCATTACACAAATACACTTTCCTCACAGTCGATCAGCCACACATTTACACCACTGCACCTCTTAATATGAATAAATTGAGAATAGGCTACCGATAACAGTATTACCCTCAGTGTGCTTTACATTCCCTCTGATCATTTCCATACTTTGTGAAGACACTGTCTGTGTCCCTGTTTTTGACTGTCTGTTATCTTAACTTTGTTTTATTTCTTCACCCAGTTTGTTCCACAAAATCACCCCACAGACATACGCACACTTGTCAGAGTGGTGCCAAAACAACATTTAGTTTTTACAAATCATATTGTTCATTGTGGCTGCTATTCACATCTGTCTCATTACTGTATGTTTTTTGGATCATAGCTCAGTCCTCCAACTTCATTCCCAATTCTCATTTTCATTTCACGTTCTTCCTTCAGATATGTCATTTTATGCTCATATTCAGTAAATTCCCTGGCTAACTTTGCCTGCATGGTCATCGTTTTTGTTCTCCGCTGAGAGGCGGTGGCAGCATCTTCACCCATGGGTGGTGCAGCAGATGTGGAGGGATGTACACACGACTTGTTCAGATTCCTTTCACTGTTAGAAGCACAAATAACCTCCTGTTGTCCATAATATAAAAGCAGAATAAATATCGACACAGAAAGTGAGTGAGAATATGCTGCATTTACCAAAGGAAATTACCAATTTAGTTTCTTCAGTGTATTTACCATTTGCCCTCAGGTCTTCGTCTGAAATGTCCACATGATCCAGAGGCTGCTGGTGCGCCATTATTCCAGACAGGAAGTCACTCAATTCATCAGTCTTGTTTGTTTTTTCTGCGGCCCACCACCAGCTGTAAATCGCTCTCTTTTCATGTCTCTGTTTTTAAAGCCACTTTAAGGTTTTTTCAGAGTCTGTATAGGAAGATATCACTCAATATAAGCAAGAAAGAAATACTTTGCACTGAACTCACTGCAAGTTGCAGCCCAGCCACTCTTTTCCTTTTGCTCAGTAGCAGCAGTATGGTTTTTACTTTCAGGTACTGTTTGACTTTACTCACTTCAGATTTCTGAATGAATACTTTTTGCCTCTGCTATTTTTTGGTCTCAAGATTCACACCTGAAATGGTGTTTTCATGGGCACTCTGAGGCCAACAGCATGTCTTTGTACTTAAGATAATGAGGCTTAACCCAGGTCTTATCATGTAGTCTTACTTGCCTTACTCTGGGACTCCATAGTCACAGAATAACTAAGTCAAATTTCATGTTCATGAAAGCCACTTAATCTAAACCCTGTTTGTTAAACCAGTCCAGAGCTTAAGTGAGCATCTTAGTCTGGCACTAGAACCAATCCTTATCTGTGAAACTGCCCTTTATGTGTCACACGAAGGAAGCCGGAGAGCAAACCGTTTTGACATGACTTTATTTCACATCATTAAAACTTACAAGCCTCAAGACTTGATGCGTCAGGCTGAACAGAGAGGAGACAGATTACACAGTGAGATATCACAGAGTCAAACCGTTACGAGTTAGGCTACATGAAGGGATCATAACTGATATAGCACGTATTAATGCATGGCGTATATACATCCTCACATGGAGTGCATCTACAGTATGCATTGGCTCAAGCTGGAGGAGTAATACTTGAAGGGGTTTGCAGATTATAGTTACGCCTGCAGTTTGATAGTATGCATGAGCGAGGGGCAGAGGCCACGAGCGCAGGATCCACAAGAGCTGTGAAAGACGTTTCAGCGTCTAAGACAGGCCACAGGCATAGCACAGATAGTGTAAGCAAAGCTGCAGAGCGGAGAGGGACTGCTCTGGGTGCTGGTGTGTGTCAGGAGGTGCTTATATTGTGACACGGTGTCATGAGTGCTGGGTGGGTCGAGGTCATATCTCCACATCATCAGGCTCACATGCTTCAATCTCTGAGACCAGCCGGTGAGGGAAGAGTTTGTACTGCAACCATGTGGGCTCTGGAACACAGAAAAAGGAAGGTGTCAATAATATGAATCAATCCCCCTCGTGTTGAGATAGTCACAAGGTCCAAGCTTTACCGAGGTAGCAGGCTGGCGGCTGCAGCTTTCCATCAAAGCAGGTCTGGGTTGCAGTGAAGCTGCACTGCTTACGAGGATGTTTGCAGTAGAACGTCACATTTTCCCCGTGAGGGACCATGGCATCTGTTACGTCAAACGGCCAGCGCTTCACTCCACCAATCACCACACGGCTCCGCTCAGCAGGGATGAGACAGCGAGCTGTGAAAAACATCAACAAGGCATGAAACTGTAATTTAAGCATCAAATCCAAAATGTATGTGCATTGCCTGTAAGAAACAAGCATCTTTGCATACATTGAACGTGTCATGGTTTTATGAGCTTGAATGCATCATTATTTAAACTTATTTTAACATTTTTCTTCCTGGTGTGTCCATTTAAAACATCTCTAACCTCTGCAGTATGGTGGCGATGCACTCCAGCTGCCGTTGGACATGCAGGTGACCTTTTGGGGTCCATCCAGCAGGAAGTTCTTTTTACAGAGGTAGTGGATGTCGAAGCCAACTTCATATTCAGTTTTCTGCACAGCCACCACATAGCCCTGCTCCACGTCCCGAGGAGGCTGGCAGTACACCTCTAACACAGACAGAGAAGCAGGTTATCAGTCTGCCTAAACATTTACGAGTAATGTTACTCCAAAAAAGGGACAGATATGTTACTGCTCAGTTATTAGCTGTTGCTTCCTGACACCTTTACCCGGCCTTGATAATGATTTATAAGTTGAAATGAAAGCTTGAATGCTTCTGTCTTTCCTCTTTTTTCTCTCCTCTCTTTAATGTGTTTTAACAAACGTCAAGGACGGTCATTATTCTCTTTGTGTGAGGCAAGAAGCACCGTCTAAGTATTTCAATCCAATCCCCAGAATAAATGTTGGTATTTTTCATTCCTGCAAACCACGGATATGCTGCCTCATGTCTCAACAACACTTTGGTTATGGGGAGGAAAAGATCATGTTTTGGCTTAAACTACCTGGTTTTCATGGCTACAAAGCTGCTGGAAACACAATGATGTCTTGGTTAATAAACACCTGCTTGTCATGGCACTATCCCCAGTGAGAACATAGCAAAAGATCATTAAAAACAAATACATTTTGTAGCTAAAAAGCTGCTGGAAAACACAGCGATGGCTTTGTTTGTTGGTCTCAAACAATGGTCTGCAGCTTGCACCATCCCCTCCTCCTCCAAATGGCAAAGTCAGCTTATATACTACATCTATTTAGAGATGCTGATATGACACATTTGAATTGTACAGATGTAACGTATCCATGGTTTGCAGTAACATACGACAATCATTTTCTTCTGGTGACTGGGCTGAAGAATTTCCCATTCCTCCCTATGGAGCAGGCCATGCAGTACCAAGTTTAGCCACTCGAGGGCAGAAAAGCACTGCGAAACTGAGCTCCAGCTCTTGACTGACGGATCCTTGAAGGGTTTGTGTTTCTTTGATTCACTCCTTTTTTTTTGACATATCCGTACACACACATGAACACATGCACACATCAAATAAATGAACATCCCTTCACAAAAAGACCACTCAGTCCATTCACTCTTTCACATCATCCACCGTCACATCGCCGGCTAACCTTGAAAGATGCATGAGGACACACTGACTGTAAGGGAACACACATGCCTGATCACACACATGTGGCCAGTGTAAGATGCACTTACTTTTACAGATGGGGTGAGGATACTGCCAGGTCTGATTATCCTGGCAGAAATTTTCACTGCTCCCCACTATATCCGCCCTGCAGGAGAGAAGGGAGAGGAGGCAGATGGCAGTGTGTCATGTACAGTATTGACAGCTAAGGAGCCTCGTCTGAATCAAAGTGATGAAAAAAGGTGTAAATGATTTCCTTTTTACACTCTGTCTCTCTCTTTCAGAGTGTCTGAATTTCATGTGCACAGTTCTGGCTGACACATCCACTCGGGCTCATCTTATCCTGCGGATGAGTCAGTGTGTAAAGGGGAGTCAATACAAGATTAGACTGTAATGACCTAGTTAGCTCAATGGAGAGATCGTCAGCTGGGAGATCAAAATGAATTTCCTGCCATTCAGCACTCATCACCCGTCGTTCCCCAACACCTCTCCCACAGAGATGGACGGTAACTACATACATTTACTTGAGTACAATTTTGAGATACTAGAGCTTCATTTTTTTCATTTTATGCTACTTTATATTTCTACTCCAATAAAATACAGATTAAGACATATATATTTTACTTCACAATTTTATCTGACAGCTTTAGTTATTAGTGACATTACAGATTTTAGATTTAAAAAAAATATATCATGAGCTTATGAAACAGATTAAACCAGAGAGGTGTCTATGAGTTGTTACAAATCCACCAAAGAGATTTCCCCCCAAGACCACACATGGGTTTGTTTTAATAAGCCCCAAAGAGGTAAATATATCCAATATTTTCCTTTGTTTTTCTTCTCTCCTACATTAATCAACTCATAACCCCTCAGATTTATCTTGTGACCCTCTTAAAAGGCCTGAACAATAGGTTGGGAATCATTGTACTAAACTGTGCATAAAATGGTTAAAGGGTAACTTGGGTATTTTTCAACCTGGATCTTTTTTCCCCTGTTTTGTGTCTAAGTGACTAATAGAGACAACATTTTTTGAAATTGGAGTCAGTATTGCGAGACAGTGCTGCAGCAGGTAATGGCGAGACAGGCTGCAATGTCACCACTTGGGGCATCTGTCAATTTATGTCCGCTAAAAGTGCTTGTATTTGCCGCTCTGTGTGTTTACATGACATTAGAGAAAATCGATTTATTGTGTTAGTCCGACTAAAATCGGACATTTAAACTATATGTAAACATGTTAGTCTGACTGAATTTATACTAAATCGAATCTCTCAAAGTCGGACTAATGCACCCAGATAATGTGACTGGGAGTTGAATTACTTCTGCATGTATCAACACATTCTCACTCCGACCTCGTCACATATTGACCTTTGGCCATGGACTTTCATGTACCCTGGGTGCGTTGGTTGTTGACATTCTGGGACAGCGTGTCAAGTTCTGCCTGTTACATGCATTGTCTTCTTTCAAGATACACTTACGTTTTCACAGGAAATTTAAGGTTTACATACAGTCTCTTTCAAAATAAATGCACTACATCGATACAACACTGGGAATTGACTTCTTTTTCTTTCAACAACAAAAGCAAGTGGTTAGGTTTAGGACAAAAGAACAGGATTTGGCTTTAGAATCTTACGGGATGCGGACACCTCTCTCTTGGGTGAAAGTTGGTGTTTCTTCGACCCATTCACCAACCCTCCTGCCCTCCCCAGTCGGACTTTCACCGCCTTGGCTTTCGTCCTTGTCCTGCTGAATTCCCCCTGACACTGCTGGGTGCGTTAAACTCTAATGGCAACCTGCCGTGGATCATGCAGATGAAAAAGGACGCCTTTTGTAGTTTTTTTCTGACACAGCAAGTCACTGCCCAAGCGCCGAATTTTGACAACTTCGGAGTGAGACCGGGTTCCATGTATACAATCACAAACTGGCCAAGGCACTCGTGCATTTTTTTTAAGGACGAAATGTACAGATCTGTAAAGTTGTCCACTGTGGTACCAAGTTTGCTAGCTCAAACTGTAGCTCACCGTAGCTAGCTTCTTTGTCCATTGTTTTGTCTGTGATGTAATAGGTCAACTGGAATAAAGTCCAGTACTAACAAGCTGTAAAGGGGTCATATCGTCACCTATCATAGTGACGATATGACTTTGGTCAATTAATTGATTCCCCCCCTGTGCTTATATACTAGGACAAGCACAGCAGTCCAATTAAATGGCCTAGTCAAGCTATAATCGTAGCTTGACATAACTGTGCATGTAAACATACTGAGTGACAGGCTCAGATTATTATTCTAAGTGTCTGCAAACATTATGGAAAAGATCCCGACAGAGAAAGACCCTCTGGATGAAGAGTAAGGTCCTTTTTGTTTAACCAGAAACAGCCCCAAAATTGCAATCACCAAACCCACCAGACTCCATTTTTATAAACAGCAATTTTAGTGTGTACAGAGGCAGCATATTTTCAGATCTAACTGGATGAATTAAGGGTTTATTTCAACCAGATCAGAGCTGATGGTTGTTAGAACAGTGGAAAGATGGTTTTTGTTAGTTTTATTTTGTTTCTGTCGACTTTGAATGAAGTCTGTTACAAGGATAAAATTACTGTTTTTTTTAAATGGAGTCTGGCTGGTTTGGTGACAGTGATTTTGGGGCTGTTTCTTGGTAAACAAAGAGGATTTTACTCTTAAACAAAAAGCTCTATCTCTGTCAGGTCCTTTCCATAACGTTGTCAAACTCTTCTTATAACAATCTGATTCTGTCAGTGGCAAAAATAAGCAATGAAGTGGGCGTAAATTAACGTTTCACAATTGCCCATGAATGTTACATACTGTAGCAGCAGTGGTCTCGCTCAGTACTGGACCAATCTCAGAAACCACTGTCTCCATTAGTCACTTAGACACAAAAACATGGGAAGTAGGGAACATGTTGAAAAATACCGAAGGCAGCCTACCCTTTAAGAGTAGCTCAAACCCAACCAGTTACAACAGTGAAATGCTGCTCACACATGAGTACAATCTAACAGTGTCACATATAATAATAGTCATTGTGCTGCTACATTTAATGCTTCAGGTACATTATGCCCATAATACCTCTGTACTTCTACTTAAGCTTAAAATGCACGTATTCATACTGTTGTATTGGCACTTTGGTACTAAAGGATCTGAGTATTTCTTCCACCACTGCTCTCCTGTAATCAAGCCATCCCTCCGCTCCCTCCCTCTTCTTCACACTCCATCCCCGTCTTCTCACTTCCTCCATTTCTACCTTCGTATCATTTCAGGTTTTCATAGCCTCTGCCTACGCACTCACAACCTCAGCCTCCCATCACCCCCCATCTTTTACCCAGACAGGCAGCTGTAGCGGATGGAAGTTCCGGCTGTAGCGTCACCCTGGATGCTGAAGGTGTTGATGATGTCCTCAGGCAGAGGGCAGGTTTGGACGGACGGTTCTTCTGGTGACTGAGTCACTGAAGGTCAAAGAAGAACAGAAGGTTAAATATTTTAATGTCTGGTCCAATACCACACTTTAAAAATACTCCACTTCAAGTACAGGTTCTGCATTGAAGGAAAAAAATACCCAAGCTGGAAGAAAAATAGTCAGAGCAGCCGTCCCTTTATGTAATGTTTCATCAGAGAAGTTCAGTCTCCTCGCAGTAGAGTGAGCCTGAGTACATTTACTCAAGTATAGTACTTGTAGTGCAAATCTAAGGTATGTGTACTTGAACATATCCAAATTATGCTTCTTAATACTTCTACATTTACGACTCGTGGCACTAAATGCTTTTTAAAAACTCAACAGCAATGTCTCTTTCCAGAAATCATGACCTGGTTACTCAAGATAATCCACAGACCTGGTTGTGAGCAGTTTCATGTAGGAACTATTTTCTCTCTATTGAACTACACTTGCTAATTGTATCATCACACAGAAGGAAGCGTGCATTGATTGCTATCTCACCTTGCACCACTGAGCTAGCTAACGTGACAGCTCAGCCGAGGAGGATGCCGTTAATGTTTACATCTCATGCTGTCATGAGCATGAGCCTTTCATCTCTGAGTAGATGCACACTTCCTTCTGCACAGTGATATGATTAGCGGGTGTAGTTAGGTAGAAAGAAAATAGTTCCCACATAAAACTGCTCACAACAAAGAGTAACCATGTCATGATTTGCATCAACCTGGCCTCTAAATTCCCCAGATCCCAATCTGATCAAGCATTCATGGGACTACCATTACCCCCGATCTACGGTGGGGCTTCCTTGGATCAGACTTGACTCTGACATGTCAAGACATGGACGCAGGACCTCTGGGGGTGTCCTGTGGAGTCTGGCACCTGAGCGTTGGCAGCAGATCCTTTGAGACCTGTCAGTTGTGAGGTGGTTGTACTGGCATGTCCCACAGGTGCTCGATCAGATTGGGATCTGGGGAATTTGAGGACCAGGTTGATGCCTTGCACTCTTTGTCATGTTGAGGCATGGTGCATGTTCTGGTGGGGAGGGGTGCACTGCCATCGAGGGTTTGGATGAGTAATGTGCTTCAAGTGGCATCCACATGAATGCCAGGACCAAAGGTTTCCAAGCAGAACATAGCATAGTGACGAGATGGTCAGTATTGTTCATGTCATCTGTCAGTTTTAATGTTTTGGTCGACACATTACAGTCAGTATGTAAGTGATGGGTGCAGATGTGAGTTTGCAGGTGACAACTATTAGCAAGTAAAGACGGAAGGTAGCAGGGAAGGAAAACAGATGGACAGAGGAAGTCACGTCCATCCTGCTACCTCATTTGACTCGTATTAACCAGGGTTTCTATTTTGTTTGTGACCCACAGAGGCGTTTCACTCAATGTCTTGTTCTATTTAAGTTGAAATAACCCTTCTTAGGTAATAAATCAAAGTTATATGAGCAGGTGACACGCCGCCCCACAACTCTCACAGAGCTCACAGCTATATATCTGTGATTGTATAACACCTGGCACTGCTCATTCCTGGAAGTTTGAGTGCCTCACGCTTGTGGAAATATAAATATCAAGAGTGGTGCTCGGAGAGAGGCTGGAGCGACCCGAGCTGCATCAAGCGCAGGGTTTCGGAGCTGAACGCGGCTTTGAAAAGCAGAGACAGCTCTTGCCTGAGGGCTGTCTTAGGTATCAGAAAGCGAGAAACGTTAATATAAGAATGTAAAGGGACCTATGGGAGAGGGAGAGTTACGAGTCTGTTTGGCTGCCGATGAGAGCCCGAAGCTGAGTTCTGTTTTCACATATCGCCCTTCTCCTGCCTCTTCTGCTGCTGCCACCCACACAGACTGCTGCACCAAACTGCTACGAAGCAGGTATATCAAATTCTTTTTTTTTAAAATTACAAAACAGTCATTTTGAATGAAACACAGCATTAAATACACAGCATTCTGATTGAGACCAAAGATGTAAAAGGTTGTGTTTTTACTCTTGTTTTTCTCCCAGAAACACAAACATAGATGCATGCACGCACCACAAACTAAATAGCCCTGAGCTGCATGCTTGTCCTTGGCTCCCATTGTAGAGCGAGACCTTATCAGAGGCCTCAGATGGAAGAGGATGAGAGGAGAAAGAGATGAGAGGAAAAGAGGATGAGAGAAGGGAGCAGAGGAGAGGAGAGCAGGGAACAGAAAGGCCTGGAGCAGCATGAGCAAGAGCTCTCTGACTCTCCTGACTGTGATCTGTCGCCCACACACACACACACACGCACAAACACACACACAGAAACTCTCTAACACATGTGCAATCCGCCCCCCACCACATACACATCTAATGTATACAGAAAAAATCTACCTCTCTCCCATAAACACACTCACAAGTAGACGCACATTCACACCCGCTCACACTCACACTGTGTGCATGCAGCTCTGTGCCACTTTGACAGTGATCTGCCGCCCACTGCCTCTCAACAGGCATGAAGGAGCTCGACTCACACTCTAACACACATGCAAGGGACACACACAATACAAACGCTCTCACACGTTCAAAACCCACCTACCTTCTGCCTGTCTCTCAGCAGGAGGATACTCTACGAGAGTGTGAGAGAGAGAGCTGAGAATCGTATCCTTATTTCACATCTTTGAAAAGATAAAATAATCTTGAGGGTGAAACCAGGACCCAGCTGGGTTGAGGATTCCTAAGAAAGCGTGTTTACTGTAGCTCCAGGTGTGTGTGTGTGTGTGTGTGTGTGTGTGTGTGTGTGTGTGCGTGCAGACCTTTAAAGCTGAACTTGTATTGTTTTTATCACAGCTGTCAGGTCGTCACAAGCAGTAAGCAAAAAAAGCAAATTTCCAGGTGCTGTACGTTGGTGAGGTGTGTTGAGATACTAAAAAGTATTGATGGCTTTACTGCACGTACCGCTGTGAAGCCTTATGGCACAGTGGTAGAAGTAATACAGCTGCACAGCGGTAGGACAAATTTTGCCTTTTGTCAGCCACTTATTCAGATTTATCTTTTCTCTTTTTGTTCTATATTTAGAGCACATGATTATCTCGGGGCACAGTGGTTCTGTGGTTGTAAATTAACTTGTATTCACTGGAAAGTCCTTTGTGTTTTCTGTAAGAATTGACTTTAGCTGCTCATGTGTTTGTTTAAATGTGCTTACAGCTCTGTTCTTACATAGTTATGTCCTGCATAGGTGCATCTTTAAACCAAGCAAAGGTCAACTAAGAGATTTCAGAAGACCTCTAGAACACATAGGGTTAATAAACGCATGTAGCTTATCATGAATTCATGATTTTAGACCTTTAATTGACACCGTGTTCAAGAAGTTGTGATTCATCTCAACTTAAGGCTGCAGTATTTTGGTTTTTGTAAATTGAGACCAAGTTATGGCCAAGACCAGTGGCGCCTCCAAAGGGGGGTAGCAGGGGGCTGTAAAATTGCTGCCCCCTCACAGTTGGAGGTTGATGTAACTGTTTTTAAGGGGCTGGGGCACACTCATTTCTTAAGCTATTACAAAGGTAGTGGTACTTTTTGAAACTAGACAATCTAGAGCATCCATTGGTACCAACCATAGCAGCATGGCTTGTCAGGAAGGGGGCTAAATAATGCTCCAAATCTGGGCTAAATTTTGACGAGGGAACAACAGGCGTGGCAGTTTTCAAAAGCCCTGTTTCCACTGAGCAGTTCGGTACAGTTCAGTTCGGTGCACCTCTTTCCTATTTCCACTGCAAAAAGTTGTGGATGTTATCAATAGACCCGTTCCGTGCTACCCCCATTTGTGGTCACCCCTTCTGTTCGGGTACCTGGCACACAGATGCAGACTTCCATCTGTGTTGCCGCTAATGAGGAGATACAGTGAGTGACAACAACCCCGCCCACATTTAAGGTACCATTTGTGGTGGAAACGCCATGTCTGAAGGGTTCCAAAGGTACCAAACCGAAAGAGTTTGGTGGAAACAGGGCTTAAAGGGTCCCTTGAACTCTCACCTCAAGATACCTGAACGAGAACTGGCTCTATGGGTACCCACGAGTCTCCCTTAAACTTGAGATGGCTTGTTTCCAATAAATGTTTTGCTCCTTACAATCAATGTACACTTCAAATTAAAGTTGTATATTTGTCCTTATCACATTAAAACAGGATTGTTGTGTAACTCAAAATCTTAACTGCGCTGGTATTTGTCTATACCAGTGGTTCCAAACTGGTCCTGCCATTAGGTCCATTTCTTCAATGTCCACGCAGTTTAATGTATTCAGCGTCACACTTGTGTTTGGCCATGTCATTGAGCTAGTTTGCTTTCTTTTTCTTGTAGCTGTCCATTAGTCACTCACTCTACAGCAGGGAACGGCACTTCAAAGTAAAGGCTTTGTGCCAAAAATTCACTGCACTTCAGAATAAAGTGTGTTTATTCACAAACTGAACACCTTCATGAATCACTGGTGGTCCATTCAGAATGAACCCGGGACCCACTTTTGGATCAGGACCCACCAGTTGGGAACCACTGATCAATACCAATCAGATAATTAGTAACTTTAACTATGAAATAAGAAACTAATGAATATGTGATTTCTTAAGTCTCCATGCTGACGTGGTTTTCAACTGTTCTATATACTTAAATAGCACAAGCGAACTCCTGAAAGTTTAGTTCAGTTATGGCTTTTGGTTTTGGTGCCACCCCAAGATTTTCACTGGCCCCATCTGGCCACCCCATGACAAACTTCTAGGGGCGCAAATGACCAAGACCAGAGTGTATCAAGACCGAGACAAGACCAAAACTTGAAAAAGACTGACATCAACTTAACCATCCTTACTCAACACCCCTTTTTTGCACAGACTATTAAGTGATTATCCTCACAGTTGTTGTTTTGACTGGTCTTAAAATAAAACCCTGAGTCCTCTTTGTCTGAGACCGGGACAAGGCTGAGTGAAAATGCCACCGAGTCCAAGGCTAGACTGAGGCCTTTAAAAAGAGGTAACAAGACTAAGTTGGATCTGAAGTACTACAACACTGTATTGTGTAGTATATTTAGTGTAGTTTGTTTTGTCCACTCTTGAATACCAAAACAGAAACACCTTACGGTCTAATTGTGTCTGTGAGTACCACAAACTTTGGCCTGTAAAATGAACATATACAGTTTTATATAGATGTATATGAAAACAGAAATATAGATGTATGTGCTGTGGTTCACATAAAACACACACAATTATATATATATGTATGCATCTATATGATCTTCATGCACACGCACACAGGTGTGTTCATCTTTCCTCTACTTATCAAGAGTTCAAACAGTCCAATTCGTCCAACAGCCACTATGAACAACTAAAGCTCTGGTTGCCATGGTGACGAGGAGAATAGGTCCCAGTTGTGCAATGTCTCAGTCGACACAGTCACAGAGGGGTTTCATTCCTGAATCTCTCCCTCTCTTTGTCTGACCGTCTTGCATAAACACAAAACAACCACAGCTTGGTTTAATCCTCGACCTCGTCCCTGACCTGAGCACATGACCTGTGCACATGCAGCGTGTCTGCTGTTGAATAAGAGACACAGGATTAAACTTGAGAGAAATACCACAGCAACATGCCTCCAGATGTTCACTACCTTGTTATGAAGGAACCTGACATGAATAAAGAAAGAGACATTTTTTTTTCTGTTGAACTCAAACCCACCTGTGCAGATGGGCTCGTCCCCACTCCACTGTCGGTCACCTTGACAACGGCGAATAGTGGCATCCAAGCCACTGGGCAACGTGAATCCCGGCTTGCAGCGCACTTCGAGCAGGGCGGAAAAGGAGTGAGTGGGAGAGAGGAGGCGAGCCACTGAGTTTTCAGTGGGGGGCAGAGGCCAGGGACATGTTCGACCTGAGGAGAGGAGAGACGATCCAGAGAGAGGAGAGAGAAACTCAGAATGTTCCGGATTGTTTCTCGTCTAAGACAAATGGACTAAAATCATTATTAAAATGGCACTAATGAGGTTGTATAACTACACTGGATGCTCTCTCTCTCTCTTTTACAATGCACAAGCATAATAAAAAACTTGTGCTGACATTTTCAGCCCAGATTTGGTGCATGACCAAGGCTTTTATTTTCCAGTAACACACACACACACACACACACACTCACAGAGATGTATGTTGGCACAGATGTATGTTGGCACAGCTGCGTATACACACAAACACTTTTAATGACTTAGCCCACAATGGTGTTCACAGTGACAACTGAGGGCACACATGCATACAAATAGTTACCTGGAGCCACACAGCTGAGACCACACTGGCCGTCACACAGACACTGGCGCTTGTTGCCACAGTCTCTGTCAGCTTTGCAGGGCCGAGGACACGTCCTCCTCCTCTCCTCTCCCAGAAGTCTCTCTGGACACGACCCTGTTGTGACACCACACACACTATCACACCATTGTCGTAATTGCCCCTTTGTTTGCCTCTCCTCCATTCATGGCCCCCATCATAAAGGAAAAAAAAAACACTAATGATGGTAATGAGATTGTGTTTGCCAGGTCTGCTTTGTTTTCTGTTTTTTTGGGGAGGTAAATTCAGTGTGGGTGGCCGGGCAAACATTTGCCACCCAGATTGCCAGATGAGTGAGTATTTAGATGGCAGGCTTTATTACTCTTTGCCATTCAGCCATCAATCTTGTTTTTTTATAGAAAGTGAGAGTGTTTTCTCAGTGGAGTAACTTTGTCTTAAAATCTAATTCATATCTGCACAGGATCAGTTTGGAGTAATCTTTAACCCCTCCTCGCTTCCCCTCACTTTTCCATATGTATTCCATCACACACCCACATCCTCCTCTTAACATACACTGCAACACTGCCAACATCGACACACCCTCAATGTCCAGAACATTTTGGGGGGAGAGAAGGGGGGAGTCAGAGAGGGTTCCCCATTTTTCATTTCTCAGAATGAAAACATGTGTGCTACTGTATTCACTCTGCCCACAGCCATGTGACCATAAACACACATGTGCTGCGGTAATGTACACATGATCACCCCAGAGCAGCACAGAGACATGGTGTACAGAACATACATGTAGCACCTATGATACTGGGAATCTAAACAGCTACATGAAACCAGAGATATGGAAGCCTGGAGTCACATATAAAGACGTGTCAATGATAAAAAATAAAAAAAAATAGATGCCACAATTAATTAACAATTAAAACAACAACAGAAGCAAACTTTAAATGATAGTGACTCATTCAGTCCTGCTAAGTTTAGGCAATCCAAACTAATACCTTTTCTAATTCTTTGCAATCACTATAAAAATCAACCATCCAACAATATTACACACACCCCCTCCTTAACTAGCCCATTGCATATTAAAGAGATAATGCTTGAGTGCATCTAAGCCCTGATCACATGATCATTGTTATATTAAAATGCAATCTACGCAGCAACAAAGCATGCAGGGTAAAGTCCAGAGTGTTCAGTGATAGCCCGGCTGCGTTCATTGTGCATGCAGGGCTCAGTGCTCTGCCAGCTGCGAGTGATGGATGGAGTCAGAGGGCTTACCTGGATCCTGCGGGGACACCGCTCCAGTCAGAGCCCACAGGGACAGCAGCAGCAGTGCACACTCCATCCTTGAAGTCAGGCCTGAGACGATATGAGGGAGGGACGCGCAGACACGGCATTTTTAAGGAAGGGGGGAACAAAGGGTGGGTGGGGGTGAGGGGGAGAAGGAGCCACGGAGGTGGGGGTGGTGGTGGTGGTGGGGGGAGAGGGTACAGCCCTGGGAGCACACATCTGGTTCGCGTTGAGGAGGAGAGAATTGGGGAAAATTCCAGTCTGAGGGACCTTTCACCTATTTTTGTTGAGATAGCAGATAAAGGCGATGACATTTACAATCCACATGGGTAAACAAACAGGAAGTGCTAACAACAGGGTAAATTAATGGACTTTACCTGGTGTCATAAAGCAGCATTTCCTCTGTTATGCATCTAAATATGCAGCCCAGTGGGACTTATATCTTCACTTCTTTAATTAATGTGAAGGCCAGTTTATTTTGTAATCTCACCCTCTAACTCATCTGTGTCGGATAATTAAGTTTATTTGTGATACCCACAAACACTGACTGCATTTAATTTAGAACTGTGTAAAATACACATTAAACACCATAAGTGTCCGAGGGAAGTAGCTTTTGTTGGGCAAGAATTGATATTTGGACAGCTTTGCCCATCAAAGGAATGTACACAATGTGAACAGACAGAGAGGTTATCAGAACAAGTAGTCTGGTGACATTTCACCACATATTATAGTGTGGTTATTAGGCTTAAGTTGATAAATGAAGTAAATCAAATCTGACCTCTGCTGCCCATTCTCTCTCGATCAAAACTGGGCTTTAATTCAAGATGCGAGCACACAGAGAGTCTGTTTACACCTGGTATTAACATGTGTCTCGGGTGATCCAATCACAGGAGGACAGCTCTGAGTCTGTCTGTTCACGCCTGACGTCTCCACATGAGTCCCGAGTGACCACTTGTGATCAGATCTCACTCCCACACTCTATATGCAAATAAACACTCAGTGGGAGGAGAGCAGCTCCAGAGACAGTCCCGCAGCGCTGCGTCTAACCTGTGTGACGACAGCAACAGACAGTTTACTTATTGGGTGGGGAGTCAGATAAGGAAGGACGTCAGCTGAGTAGGTGGTCCTTCAATGTGGCCCAGGACACATTAGCATACATACAGTTTAAAGAATGTGGCCATACTGTATGCAACCCAGACTACCTCTGAATGTGGTCTGAGACATCGAGCAGTCCCTCCAGGATGTTGTAATTGGAACAATTAATGCAAATTTAGCCAGTCCCTGTGAATTCTGCACAACCTTGTAATGTTGTCCAATCACCACAGCTTTACCACAAATCTGATCGCTTAAAATCTAATTTTATTGTAGAGCTGCGTGCAGCATCTTGATTAGCTCAGCACCCCTATGATGGGGCTAACTGTTAGCATCATACTGCTGACGTTACCCAACAGTTATTAACAGGTTCAACAACAGAGTCACACCGTTTCAGTGGTGGTGTGAGATTAACAGCTCAGAGCCAGGTGTTAACCACCTCTGCAGGGCTTCTGCCCAAGCAGCAAAGTACAACAAGTAGAGAGGCCTGTGCTAACGAGCCAGGTCAGCAGGAGGAGAGCAGCTGACGGAGACGGTCCTTCAACGTCGCGCCAAACAGCAGCCACATCTTGCTGCTCCAGGGACTGATTGAGAATGCATTTGGTGCATTTACATTCGCACTTTTGGCAGTCTACTTGTGATCTGATCACAGAGGACGCATGTTAAAGGGATAGTGGGGTTGTAAGGGGTACTTATCCATAGACAGTGTATTACCAACAGTCGATGTAAGTTGGCACGCCCCCAGTTTGGAGAAACAAGCTGGAAGCTAAGAAATCTACTACTACCGCTACTTTGGAGGGTTTAGCAGCAAAAGATTTTAGCCACCTAAAAAAAAGTCCCACTTAAAAAACAAAACAAAAAACAAATCAGTTTATGGCCCAGACACACCAAACTGACCCCGAAGAACTAGCAGCGATGAGAGCCCCCTGCTGCATTGTATCTCGCTGTGTCTCAGCCAAAACGTTGCCCACGAACACACCAAATTGACAACCAACAAGCTTGTATGTTCTGCACCTGTGTGAGAGGACATACCCCTCTTTACCAGCAGATGGCGGTCATCTGTAATCCTCATTCAAAATGGGAAACCAGAAGACCATCTTGATGCTAGTTAGCCACTTAGCACATTATTAACATAATCCATTGTTGAAAGAACAAAGGATATTTACTGTGTGCCAGTGAACAATACCAAAAACCATCAGGAAACCTTTCTGCCTTAAGAGCTCACTGGCTGATGGAAAACAATCTTACCTCGTGACAAATTTGTTTCGACCTCACTTCCTCTTGACTTTAGCTCTTTGTTTACTTTCCTCACTTCCACTTCTCTTCTCCTGAAGGGAGATAAACTGCCAGTCAAAGTGATTTTATTCTCTGACAGGCTCCATTGTGCGTATGCTGATTCAGTATGCTGAATTGGTGGAAAAAAGGCCAACTAACAATGACGAGGGCCAACAGTGCAGGACACACCACACCGACGAGGGCGGCAGATGCTCAGCCACGGCCAAACTTTGACCAATGGCCGACTGTTGGCCTGGCGTATCAGGGCCTTCACTTGTATGCTATAGTTTTAATATTTTCATTGCTTTACCTTAATGTCAGACAGTGATTTTTAACGGGAAAATGAAGCTGTCTTATGGCTCTCATAAAAGCCGAACTCCACTGACAAAAACTGTGATTTAACATTGCTAAACACAGGAGCTGCTGGTCTATCCCTGTGTCGAACAGTTACTTTGTTTGTGTTGTTGTATGTGACTTTTGTGTTTAAAATGATTACTTCTGATTCACCAACGACACACAATAACACAAACCAACTGAACGAAGCAGCTGTAGACCAGCGGCTCCTGTATTCAGCAAGCTAAAATTACTGTTTTTCTCAATGCAGTCTGGTGACTGGATGGGGAACTGAAGCAATTAACAGCTTCCCTGCTGAAATGGCTTTCTGACGGAAAGGTAAAGTGTTGAAAATACTCTCAATAAAGCATACTTATTTAATTAATACTGATTTTTTTTCCAGGTGTGACTTTAGGTGGCTCCCTGCAGCAGTAAATTCCTGTATGTCTCCTGCATGTAATACACTTACTATGGATAAGTACCCCATGCAACCCCACTTTAAATGATCTGAACTATCCATTTAATACCAGGTGTAAACAGGGCCACAGCTTAAGAGAAACATTCAGAACTACTATAAATAAATATAATTGTGATGAAACACAGGAGGAGAGCAGAGCAGTAGTGAATGAGAACAATCTTTTATTGGTGTTTTTGGAAAAATCTCGACTACATCCAAATAACCAGCACTGAGTGGGCTGGGCACCATGGACACCACTGATGCAGCAGGGCAGTTGAGGTTCAATTAAGAGTCACAAAGAGATTCATCAACCACATCTGTGAGGATATTAGAGACTAAATCCTGTCGGGAGAGCAAACAATCACTGATTAGAGTGATAGAGGCTGAAATAAACCACCAAGGAGCATATTGATAGTGTGCATAGTCCGTACACTGCTGGGGAACAGAGGTCATCACGAAAGGTAAAGTGAGTCTGCATGAATATCATGTTCAAGTTATTGAGCCACGCTCGGGGGAAATCCGTGAAACTAAGGTGGCGGTAGTGTCCGTCGTAGATGTGTCTGGAGGTCTGAGACAGGATGCGAATAGCAGAGTGAGGGTTTGTTTTTTGTTTCTTTTTCATTTGAAGAGTCTTTCTGAGGAACACTGAAGATGTTTCAAGGTGCAACAGATCATGTTCATCCAAAGAAAGAAAATCATTCAATAATATAGAACAGCAACAACAAGAGGGATAATCATCATAACCATAACAATAATAATAATAGCAGTAATGGTAACTATTCATCATGGTCATTAAGGGGATTAAAAGCACACTCTATCACTAGTCATCCCTCCCCCAGGAACATAACATAGTGTACCATGCCCCGTGTGTAGGTGTTGTGGGTACACAGAGAAGTTTATAGATACAGTAAAAAGTAAAGAGTAATAACAGGAGTAAACAGTAAGGAAGGTGCAGTACTGAGAAAAGCACTAAATAGCAACAAGCTTTGTGGTTCAACGTAGGGAATTTTGGCTTTTATTTTCTCCCAGAAATCTGAGAAATTAACACCATTCCACTCAACGGGGGTTTTTGACCCATCTCCTGGAATACATCAAATACACAAAACAGCATAGGCCTATCCAATATACAACATTTCTCCCCTCCCTCCCGCCCCACAATAATGCTAATTAAAGTGTGTTCATAAAGTAAACTAAAGTAACGATGTGCGTTTTACTGGGAAGATTAATTCAGAATACGTTACAACACTGAGATTCAACTAACTCTATGCACCGCTGGCAGGGTACAAGGGAGACACGGGGACAAAATGTTATTGAGAAGAGTTTGCACATAACTGTGAGGGGATTGGCTGTGTTAAGTGAAAACGGACAGAAATAGAGCGGTTGGATATAGAAACAGAGGGAGAGAAATGTCCCGACGATTCGAAAGAGAGGATCAAGAGGGAGCGGAGTTACCCGGGGCATCACAACAGGCTTTCAGCGGCTGAGGTGAGTAAAAGCACTCGACTGGGAGAGAGGTAAAAGAGATAAAAGTATGGACTAGAGAAAGATGTACCAATCGCGTAAAGTTAAGCTCAAAGTACAGTATGTTGTTGGGGAACTGAAGTGAATTAATAAAGGATGGAGTTCTATTAAAGAAAGAGCGCACAAGACAAGTGTTGACGATAGTGCTGGACTGTTTACATCCCCTTTTGTCTCTCTCTCTTGAGCATGCCCATTCCCAGTGACAGAAACATAACAGGAAGAAAATTAAGTGCTTGAATAAAATCCACGAAAATGTCGAACTATACGATTATAAGATAATTTTTGCTCTCTATATTACAATTGTTACATGCGTCCTCGCCCCCTGCTGCTGCATCCTGACTATAATAATAATCAAGTCGAAAAATACCCATCGATGGCTGACCACCTGTTAAACATCTCCTGACTCATCTATGATAAAAAGATATTCACCGTAGCTTTTCCCCCGTCTCTATGTAGAAAATATACAAAATTATTCTCCAAATTTGCTCTCCCTCTAATTTTTCTTAAGTATTATAAAAATATACAATTCTCCAATAACAAAACTCTTAAAAGTCGCAACCTGTTAAATTATTTCTCTCCGTCTTTCACTTTTAAGAGCTGACACCTCGACAAAACAAGACACCTGAGCTTCAATACACAAACCTTCTCCTTGTCTTATACATTCATCATCATAATCATCATCTTCCTCATCATCATTTTCTTGACCCCATTCTGTCCGTCATGCCACCCTATGAGTCTTTAAATTTAATCCAGCTTAAATTTTCCTCCTCTTCCTGATTTTGTTTTTGCTCCGCGCCTTCATCACTGGTCGGCGAGACGGTTCTCGTATTTACTAAGGATGTTGCGACAGCGGCCCAGTTCCTTTCGGATCTCGGCCACTTCCTGTCGGAGGGCGGCGTTTTCTCTCTCCAGGTAGGCAGCACGCACTGATATTTGGTTCTCCTTGAGACGGCGGGCGTCTCGGGAACGCTTTGCAGCTTCATTGTTTTTATACCTCCTGGTCCAGTACTTCTCATCCTAAGAGAGGACAGACAGAAATAGGACATCGATTATTTACCATCCGATTTGATTCTTTGAGATTAATCACCTCGGTTGATCAGGGAGTTACGGTATTATTAGGCAGAAGAACTTCAATAAAAAAAAATCAATGAATGGTCAGACTTGTTTCTTAAGAAGTGTGTAGTACTCTTGTGCAGCCTAACTCTCATCCTGCTGCTGGTAATGTGGGTGTTTGGCCATGAATGAGCGTGGGACATGTTCCTTTCAGAAGCTTCATCCTCAGAGTTCGGTTAGTACTGAGTTTTTTGATGCTATTTCTGTTTTGTAAATTCAATTTTGCTGCTTTTGTGTTTCCTGCATCTTTAATATTTAATGCTTCCTCTGTGAGACACTTTACTTTATTTTGAAAAGTCCAAAATATTAGCCAAGACCCCTGTATGTGATTTTTTTTTAAAAAGATGTTCAGCTTAGTTACTTCTGCTTTTCTAATATCCATGAATTTAGTAATGTATGCCTTAGAATTAGAGCTTTAAAAAGAGATGCTTCCAGCAATTCACATGATGGTGGATTTGCTGCTTTTCTCTTTGATATATCGATGTACATTAATTTGAGGTTTTGGACTGAACAAAATAAGCAATTCGACTTCCCTCCCAAGGTGCAAATTGACCACCACTGCTCTAAATTCACAGTGAGGACCTCAGTCTCTCTCAGACTCTCACCTTCAAGTCATCGGGCACCAGGATCTTGCGAGCCTTCTTGATCATCGGCTGTGGCTTGAGCTCCTCTTCACTGAAGGAGTGCCTCCTGGGGTCGAAGTTCGGCTGGTTGGACATATCCATGTCTGACGAATCCACATCGAACATCCCGATCACGTCTGGCCCGCTGCCCGTGGGCGTCAGCAGCGGTGGACAGGAGGATGAGGAGGAAGAAGAGGGCGACTCGCAGGAGTCGTTCATACTCGTCTGACTCCCTGAAATCAAAGGGAAGAACAGTCTGGTTAAACAAACGATATCCTGAGACTGATAATACTGTGAATAGAGTAGCTGAATCCACTAAGACAGCAGTACAAACACATGCAGCATTACATCATGGTGACCACCAGGTGGAAGCAGAGAGCTACTTTCACCCTGTTATAAACAACAAACAACATTCAATCGCCCTCGACTGATCCTAAGAACTGGGCATGTTTTTCAATCAGTCTTCAGCGACTGTAAGGGTTTCAGGGCCACTTTAAATTTTAGAAAACATCTTGGGAATATACCCTACAAATTCATATAGTTAGATAATATAATACATGTAGTTTGTAGCACACAGATGAACAGATATAACAGAGCAAATACTGTCAATGAAAAGCTCTGGTTTTTCCCATAACATACTTTTGTGTAGTTTTACCTCTGTCTAAAATATTTTATATCGTATACTGCACACTACTAAATATCACGATGGTTTTAATGTACCTCTCATGCTGCTAAAATCAAAGCCTAACTAATGGTCCTGATGTTCCTGTGGATCCTACAGAGTCTCATGTCCCAGTCGACTGTGGAAACCAGCGCTTTAACAAACTGACACAAAACCACAACCACATGAATTCTATTAATTCCACTTATGCATGATATACTATTATTAATCTGAACCACAAATGCTGGTAGACCAAAGCCAGCATCCAGAGCTAAATACCAATAGAGAAATCTAAATGTGGAAATGTTATGTAACCTTCTACCCCTCCCCTAAAAATCAGTTCCTTTAAGTGGGGCCAGTATAGGGCTATACCTCACCCACCCCCTTTAGGGCCCAATGCACCTCACTCTGACTGACTTTCCTTTGCTGTGGGAGCACAAAACTCCCGTTGACTGTTCCTATGTCTTGCATGAGTGTGTGTTACCCTAAAAATGTATCTGACAATTCCAACTATTAAAAGATAAACTTAAAATTATTGTCACATTATATGACAAAGACAACTTGAGTCAGGCTAGTTATTAACACCACAGTTCTGCAGCCTTACAAATGACCAGAGAATTAAATCAACACCACAAACTTCCCCAAAGCTGATAATTAATGCAGACTTATTATGTGGAAACACGACCCATACTAAAAATGTACAATCTGGCGAAATGGGCAGCACTAACAGGTCGACTGTAGGCTGGAGAGAAAACCTCCCCTACATCTGATTATGAGCTGCTGCCTGTTTAACATGTTATCTGTGGATCTGTAACATCACATGACTCATGGGTGCATAATAGCCAGGTAGTATGAGGGCGTGTTTTCACACCAGGTGTTCCCTCACGTTGTTCCCATGCTCGGCAGTGACAGCAGAAAAAGGAAAGAGTGCTGTCATAGACAGCAAGATGAAGTCAAGCATGTCCCACGATGCATCATCAGCGGCTCTAATGAGACACTGAATCTTTAGGTGTGGATACAGAGTGCCACAGAGGGCTAGAGAATGCTGCACGTTTCCCTCTGCGTGTGACTAAACCAGATTTTAATGATTTATGCTGCTTGAACTCCGACAGCAGGAACTAGTCAGAGCAACCACCTGGTGTAGTGTGTTGTTGGAATGGAAACCTGCACACCCTCAGCCCTCCTCCTGCGGTACAGGATTGCCTCTCCCTGCTTTTTGGGAAGCTATGGAACGCCGCCGTATAAAGTTTATTTGGCGCATTTTGGTCCACGTGCTTCGACCCTGAGAGAACAGTGGGCTTTTTTGCTTTTGAAGAAACTCTCCAATATGTGGCTGCGAGTGTTTCAGCACTTGTACGGCAGCATTCCTGAAGCTGAAGGCCTGAAGCTGTTGTAAAAGCAAACAGTAGCCCTGCTCCCTAAATGCCTAATATAAGCAGAGGTGGTTAGGTGTTGCTCTGTTTAATATTTACGAAGCACACGTTTGAAAAGACAGCTGAAAATTGGGATACAGCTTCTCAAGTTTCAAGCTTTGGGAGAGCTGATGAGAGGTATTCACTCATGTCAGCCACATGATAATATATATAAACTTAATTTCTATTTAATATGTTGTATATGTATAGTAGTGTGTGATATGTTTGTAATTAGAAACTCAAATTCTGTGATCTGTAATCCACTAATGGGGCTTTATCATGCAGTATAAATGCATTATCAGAGTCTGTAAAGATGCACTTTGTCACTTAAATGTCCTGCATCAACATCCCAAACAGTATAATATCCTCCTCTGGATATCAGTATACTTAAATGTCATTCATGTGCGATCAAATGTTCCCGTTTGAAGTCCAGCAGCAGCAGCAGCAGCAGCAGCAGCACAGGGGAAACTCTTCCTGTTGCTCTGCATGTCCCCTCCTTCTGTGGGCTCCTCCCACATGTCTACTGGCCCTGCCTCTAGTTCTCTCACTCCAGTACTCTCAGCCCCGGCACGTGTACTGACGCGTACACATGGCTGTGGCGTGTGAAGTGGGGAGAGATTTAAAGACACGCAACCGCAAACACTCAACACACACTCCCCTCTCTCTCCCTCTCTCTCTCTTAGTACTGCTTTGACCCTGCTGCACATTTATAATGGGCTGGGAAGGAATGCTGATTGTGTTGTACGCTGCAGTACATGGATCACATGCCGAATTAAAACCAAACCTCCCCGTCCATGCTATGAGGTTGACTCATCAAATCTTTCAAATCTTCCACCTTTTTTTTCCCACCACGCTCCCTCGGCCAGCTAAATGAAATTTCAGACTCTGTTTTCTCTCTTTCAAGTTGACTTTGTGTGTGGAGCCATGTGACTGTGTCTGCTGCCTTCAGTGTGACCCCACAGGACAGAAAAATGCTTGGTCACCATGGTATTTGTTATAAACGCAAAGGAGAGTCAAAGTGCTGAGTCACTAGCCTGTGGGAACATTATACACACACACCATATAACCTTGATTAAATCTCAACTATTATTGAATTGTAGGGGCTGCTGGTCTCATATCAGTGGCAGGGGGACAATTTGTCTCTTAAAGCTTGTCAGTTCTGCAAAGTTGGCAGAACCCTCGTCCATGATGTTGCTGTTTTAAGGCTGATATGGACAAACCTTGAAGAATGAACTGCCCTTGATTATTTTTTTTTTGTATTCTCTGGTTCAACTATCCATCTGCTCGTGTCTGTGCACTCACCATGCAAACAGTCACTTCCTCCTCCGATGCTCTGCGGCTGCGCCACCTCCAAACCAATGAGCGACGGGGAAGACGAGGAGGAAGGTGATGAGGATGTGGAGCCAGGTGGAGATGAGGGCGGTAGGCACTGGGAGCTCTGGTTGGGCACGGCCGACTGGGAGCTCTGCGAAGGGATCTGGGCTGAACTGGAGCTGTTGTTGCTGTGCATGCTGCCCATTCCATTTTCAGTCAGAAACTCCTCCAAGTCCATGTACTGAAGCTGGAAGAGGCCCCCGTCTGCAGGCAGGGTGCGATCCCACAAGAGGGGCCCCAAGAACTGGTTGAAACTTCCTCCTCCATTGCTGCAGCCATTACTTCCATTACTGGAGACTGTTCCGCTGCCATTCCTCATGGAGCACACTCCCAAGGAGTCTTCATCAAGGTCCAGCCTCTCTTTGTCTGCCACAGAGGAGAACATAATGAAGATGATGAAGACTTTAAGTGCACAATAAAGTTTTGTCACCACATTTTCTGGCTGCGGATATGTATGCAAAGCTAAATGAGGTGACAGGTGCGCCCATAAAACGCAAAAATCTCCCTTTTATTCTACGTCTCACACACTCACAGATGGACCAGATGGTATAGCTGAATTGCAGCATTAGCACGAGCTGAAACCAATTTGTTGTCATAACTCGTACATAAGCCCCTCGACAAATCTCACAATTGTTGGGAAGCACGTTCTGGAAACTGCAGCTAAACAGAAACGTGCTGTTGCTCATTGTAATCTGGCTCCTAATTTGAAGTCGCAGCAGGGATTATAATCCAGGTGCAAACTCATCAGGGTCATGGGGGAGTCACTGTGAATGTGTGTGATGGTGCATCAGATAAGACAAATGTGATGTTTGTTATATAATAATAGTTTGTATTATATCCTGATGGGTGGACAGAGGGGTATGATTTATTCATGCTCTGTCAGTGCACATATTGAACATAAGGCTGTGTCAGGTGACTGTGCTGTAGGTTCAACACAAACACTTTCAGATTATTTAGTCAAATGAGAGAGTGTTTCTCACCTTTTACATCACATGGGGTTTTTAAACGTTGGTCCCCCTTCATGGGGTGCTGCAGGAGGGATTTGAGCCCCACCATGGAGTTGAGGTGCCCCCCTGTGAGAGAGCCTGCAGGCTGGGTACACGTCCCAAACTGAGGGCTTGCACCGGCTGGGAGGTCGGGGTTCGGAAGCTGGGAGAGCTGCCTGGACATCCTGGACCAGACGGGGTCGTAGAAAGATACTGGGGGCGCTTGAAGAGGCGTGGCAAAGTGACCGGAGAGCCTACCAATAGGACAAGTATGCTGGATGACTGCACGCGCGCGCGCGCGTGTGTGTGTGTGTGAGGAGGGAGGGAGGGAGGAGGGGGGGGGGGGG